CACACACACACACACACACACACACACACACACACACACAAAGTTCTGGTCAGAACAAATGTGAAAGTCGATATGAGAATCCTATCCTTTGTTTTGTCATCTGGGGAAGTTTGGGTGTTTTGTTTGTTTGTTTGTTTGAGGGAGTTTGGGGGGTTGTTTTGTTTTTGTTTTTCTTCATAAAGCATCTTGGCTATTTTTAGTCTTTTGTACTTTTTTATATATATTTTAAATTCTGTCCATCAAGTTACATCAAAAGAAACAGAAAAAAAAAATCTACTGGGGTTTTGAGAATTTGTATTGATTGTTTAAATCAGTTTGAACACAATCGGTTTGGGGAGTTCGTACCAATTCTTTAAATCGATCTTTACAAATCCGAGCCTTCTAGCCTGTAAACATGACGGCTCTGTGGGATTTGCTTGGGTGCTTTGTGTGTGTGTCTCCCTAAGGTGTTATGATTTTCCCTGTGAAGAAATTTTTTTCTCAAYTTATTTCTGATACCTCATACTTTCATGCTATTAGAAAGGGAATCTTTTTTGTTACATTTTCAGTTTGCTGGCATAAAACGTATAGTTGACTTAAATACTGATGCTGCATGATCATCCATCACTCTTGCCAAACACTTACTGGTTTAAAAAATTGATCTCTGTCATCTTTTGGATTTATTAAGTACACAATTGTATCATCTGAGATTAATGACAATTTTGCTGCTTCTTCCACCCCTGTTTTCTTTTTTTTGATCCTTTCTTGCTGAGCTCTGGTATAGATGAGAAATGGCGTGACGGGGGGGCACCTGTGTTTCATCTTAAACTGCTTTGGCAGTGCCTCAATAAGTATTTCTCAGAAGGCTTTTCAGAGATACTTTTTATCAGATTCAAGAAGTTCTCTGTTCCTTAGTGACTGAGTTCCTCCATGAACGCTGTAGATTCTTATCCTAAGCTGTGTTTCACATCTGTTAGATCCTAGACTGGCTTTGAACTCCTGGGTTCAAGCCATCTTCCTGCCTCAGCCTCCCAAGTAGTAATTTTGACAGTATTTTTCTTTTAATTCTAAATGTATTCTAATATCTGATAGGCTTTTTTCTTGGTAAATGGCTTATTCAAAGTGTGTTTAATTTCCAAACATAAAAATGGATTTCTGGGCTGGGGATGTGGCTCAAGCGGTAGCGCGCTCGCCTGGCGTGGGGCCCGGGTTCGATCCTCAGCACCATATACCAACAAAAAAAGATGTTGTGTCCGCCGAGAACTAAAAAATAAATATTAAAAAAATTCTCTCTCTCTCTCTCTCCTCTCTCTCCTCTCTCTTTAAAAAAAATGGATTTCTGGCTTATATTCATATTAAGTTTTAGTCTGATTCATATTTTTAGTCTGCGGCCATGCCACTCTGAACGCACCCAAGCTTATCTCATATTAAGGTTTAGTTTAATCACATTATGTTCTATGAACCTGCTGCCTCTGATTTCAGTCCTTCAAAATGTATAAAACAGTCGTCATGTGATTTTTTTTTTTTTTTTTTTGGTACTGAGGATTGAACCCAGGGGCACTTAACCACTGAGTCATATCCTCACCCCTTTTTATTTATTTATTTTTTTAAGAGACAGAGAGAATTTTTTTTTAAATATTTATTTTTTCAGTTTTCAGTGAACACACATCTTTGTTTGTATGTGGTGCTGAGGATCGAACCTGGGCCACAYGCATGCTAGGCGAGCACGCTACCACTTGAGCCACATCCCCAGCTCCACCCCTTTTTATTTTTGTCTTGAGACTGGATCTTGCTGAATTGCTTAGTGCACAACTAAATTGCTGAGGCTGGCTTTGAACTTTCGATCCTCCTGCCTCAGCCTCCCAAGCCAATGGGGTTACAGGCATTCAGGCTTGTGCTACTGCACTTGGCTCTCATATGATTTTGTAGTCTGTCTTTAATGTGTAGTAACATTGTTACTTGGGAGTTTATTTTTAATTGTATAGCTTGCTACAGATCCTGAATGGAAATATATTTGCCTAAAATTCAAAGTAACTGACTTTTTAAATTGTCAGCATGAAACAACAACCTACAGAAGTTCTCTATGGAAAGACCCCTTGACTTTTGCTTTGACCCGAATAGCAACATCATTCCATCTCATCCTGCATGGTTGGCCTAGGTCACTGTATTCATTTACTCAGACTGGCCCATCTAACGCGGTTTTCTTACTTTAGCCAGGGTCCACCAGGTTTTTATTAGTCTTTTAAGTAAAGTCAACTTGCAGTGAGAAAACTGAATCCAGTTAATTGCTTCTTGGTTCTCCCCCAGGCTCGAGGTCTGAAGAAGCAGGTCATTGAAGACTTTTTAACCCAAAACAAGTACCTGTTGGCAGCCAGGCTTACCAGCCAGAAGTTGTTCCATGAGCTCTGCCCAGTGAAACGATCTCACCGACAGAGGAAGTAAGGCCCAAGCCTTTTCCTGTCTTGGAGTTTACTACAGGGGTACTGAGCACCCACCTGGTGACAGCATTTATTCTTCATTCGTCAATTAACAGCTGTGATGTTAGTGGGTATTTTTAACCAGGGTACCTTAGGGCCAAATTTTTGGTTGTGCCAGCCTGGCCTCGGGGTCAGAGCACACCAAGATGTAACACTTTAGCTGGAACCTGACAGACAAGCAGATGTTAGCAGGTGTYAGGAGGCAGGTCCCTTAGTGAAGCATGAGCATGACTGTTCCTCTCCCTACAGAGCATGCATGCAGGGCGAGTCCCTGGAGATCTGGAGAGAGCCAGGACAACAGTTAAATGATAGGGAAAGTGAGGTAGGGTGCAGAGGAAATGTCAGAATGATTAGCCTGTGATTTCAGTAAAGAATGTGGAATGTGATTGTGCAGAGTGTCTAAAAAGCCTGGAAATACAGGGAAATGTCTCGTATACCTTTTTCAGTTAGGTACAATTAAGAATCAGTGGGGCTTTAAATTTAGGATTATTTTATCTGTAAAAGGTATCTGATCATATTGTTTGAAAATATTGTTTAAATTTTAAAAATCCCCCTGTATTTTCAGACTTTGCCAATTCCTTTATAGTCTGAGAGGGAAGGAAAAAAAAAAGACTTTAATTAGATTTTTAAAGAGTGTCCTGAACTATAAGGATTGTCATTTACATAAAACGTGTTCCAAACCCACACGCCTGGCTTCCTTACCGCTGCGGCCCTGGAGCAGGCCCCGTCTCCCATGCAGCCTCCTGCTCGCCTCTGCGCCTGTCTCCTCCTCCTCTGCTCTAGGCCGGTTCTTCACACACCAGCCGTGATCTCAAACACCCAAACCCATCACTCTCCATCCTGGGGTCTCCATGCTGTGGTTCTGTCTACCCGGGACACTCTGGCCTTGTTGCCTCTTGTGCATACTTCATTCAGGTCCCTGCAGAAGTGTTACCTTCTTAGGTGCCATTTCCCTCACCAACCCATGACCTCCCCCAACACTGGCCTCTCTATATCCCTTTCTCCTATCTTTCTTAGAGCACTGGTTGTTTATTGTGAAATCTGTTTGTTTTCTGTCTTCCTCACTGGAACGTGAGCTCTGAGGGCAAGGAAGTCCTCTGTCTTCCCTGACATGTAGCAGGTGCTCAGTCAATGTTCAGGAGAATGAATGGCTGAGCTTACATTTTAACCTTGCAAAGGAAGCTCCTTCAGAATGAGGTTTGGTGGCCGCTGTCCTAAGATAGATTCAACTAGTCTTCCCTGTGGTAACAGAACTGGGACAAGATGGCTTCCTTAAAAGGACCTTCTGCATCAAGGATCAAGGCCCAATTGCCTAAAAGAAATTCCTAGATGTTATGGAGTTTGGTGTGGGGAGAACATTACTAGTTTGGAAAAGGAACAGGTCATTACTGACTTGGAAGTCTCAGAGATGGCAGCTCGCAAGCTGGGCACAATGATGGGCGCCTGTAATCCCAGCTACTTGGGAGGTTGAGGCAAAATAATTATAAGTTCAAGGCCAGCCTGGACAACCTAGCAAGACCCTGTCTCAATATAAAGAATAAAAAGAGGGCTGGGGATGTACTCAGTTGGTAGAGTGCTTGCCTTGCATGCACAAGGCCCTGGGTTCTAATCCGCAGCACCACATTAAAAAAAAAAAATCTGCCCCTGGGGTGGACTCAGCAACATATTAAAGGCAATAAATGAAGAAAAAAAGAATTTAAAAAAAGAAAAGAAAGGACCAGGAATGTAGTTCAGTGGTGGAGCACACCACTTTCAATCCCCAGGATCACAAAAAAATAAATTTAAAAAAGAGATGGCAGCTCTCCTGATGCACAATATCTTCTTCACTCTGTAAAGTGACTCCTCCTACCCTTCATCATGGATAGCAGATTCTGCCCAGGAACTGGTCATAGTCCTCTCTCTCGTTCTCATGCAGGTACTGTGTGGTCTTACTGACTGCCGAGGCTCCCAAGTTGAGCARACCCTTCGAGGCCTTCCTGTCCTTTGCCCTGGCAAACACGCAGGACACCGTGCGGTTCGTACACGTCCACAGTGGGCGGCAGCAGGAGTTTGCCCGCACCCTGTTGACGGACAGCGAGGCATTTCAGGGGAAGTCAGCGGTGAGCCACGGATTCTCTCCTGACCCAGCCCCTTCCCAAGCACTGCCCTCGCTTCCATTTCCTTCTTTCTGGGGGACATTGTAAGGCTACTCTGACAACAGTCTTCCACGTGGTCATTTTACCTCCTAGAGGTCAGCCTAGGCCTCCACAGGAAGCATCTCTCCTGCGAGTAAAGGTTAAGGTACATCGGCCCATCTCATCAGGTTGCCCAGATCTGGTCTGCAGAATCCAAGATGCCAGATTTTACAAACCCATAGGCACTGATGGTACTCCTRGCAAGTTCCCCCGCCTTCTGCCTTTTCCGCTTCATCCTAATGGATTTCTCCTTTTTCCCTCTTCTCCAGAAGCATGGCGTTCTCCTCTTGGAGATGTAGCTAGTGGTAGAGCATTTACGTAGGCCCTGGGTTCCATCCCTTGCACTGGGGGAAAAAAGAAATTCTCTGTTCTCATTTTGGTAATCATTTAAAAAATTTCTAAAAAACTAAGGTTTTGGGGACTGGGGACTGGGGCTGGGGCTCAGTGGTAGAGCACTTGCCTAGCATGCGTGAGGCACTGGGTTCGGGCCTCAGCACCACAAACAAATACATAAATAGATTAATTAAATAAAGGTCCGTTGCCAACTAAAAAAAAAAAAAAACGCTTAAGGTTTCATTTATTAAATTATAGAACGAAGCCACTTGAGGGGGAGAAAGAGCTTTAACTTTTGACAAAAGCTTTGAAAATTCACCATGAAAATGATTCTGGGAGCTGAGCCAGAAGAATGACTTGAACCTCAGAGTTCACAGCCAACCTGAGCAACATAATGAGACACCTGTCTCAAAAAATAATAACTCCTTTTATGAGAAAGATTTCAATCTCTTGCAAATATTTTAGACTCTTTAGCATTTATGTTTGAGCCTACTGCTGACTTCTCTCATCCATCCTCCCTGCAAAAATACAAACAACTATAACTTATGATGCTTTTGAGACTTCTCATGATTTTTCTCTCCTTGTCTCCCAGGTGTCTATTTTAGAAAGACGTAACACGGCAGGAAGGGTGGTGTATAAAACCCTGGAAGATCCCTGGACTGGGAGTGAGAGTGATAAATTTATCCTTTTGGGTTACCTCGACCAACTGCGGAAAGATCCAGCTCTTCTGTCCTCTGAGGCTGTGCTCCCCGACCTAATGGACGAACTTGCTCCCGTGAGCATCATCACCAGGGAGGGTGGGCTGCCAGGGGGCCCATGGCCTGCCAGGGCCAGCGACTAAGTCCTGCTAAGAGCAGAGTGTCACAGCAGCTCAGTGCTGTGGGGTGGGGACCCTCCTCTGGTCAGTGCTGACCATGTCCGTTTTCTCCCTTGATAGATCTTTCTCCTCCGGTGGCTCTACTCTGCCTCTGACTACTTGGCCGACTGCTGGGACGGCATATTCCATAGCAACTGGTAGGAATGATGCTGGGGTGGGGTGCCCTTCATCTGCTGATACCAGCATCACCCATTTTCTTTTGGAAAGAGCCCATCCTCCCTTGAGTTCTATTTCTTTCTCTTTTTTAATTGCAGAGCTGTGGATTGCACCCAGGGGCACTGTACCACTGAGCTACATCCAAAGTCTTTTTCACTTTATTTTGAGACAGGGTCTTGCCAAGTTGCCTCAGCCTGCTGGTCTCTGAGATCACAGGCGTGCACTACCATGCCCGGCCTACTTTGATTTCAGTGTGCACTTAACATAGCAAGTGGAAGAATTTTTACAGTTTCCATTAACTGCTCACCTGCTTGCTTTCAGCAACTTCACTTTTTTAAAAATTTGCCAATGAATCTTTCCCATCGGCTGGGAAAAGATGACCCACTGCCCTTTCAGAGAGCAGAGCTAGGGCCTCTGGTGCTCAGCACCAGTTTGCAGGTGCACCAGTGAAGCAGCGTGGTGGGCACAGCAGGATGCCCACACTGCTTCTCAGTGAAGAGGCAGTTCTACCCTTTTCTCCTGAAGGGCAGAACCACCTCGAATTCACACTTCTAACTCCTGGCACCCAGCAGGGCCCCTGAAAGATGGCACGCCCTTGGTTGGTGTTGCAAGAGTGTAGAGTTTTAGAACAGCAGCCCTGGGAGAGATCGTGTAAAACCATTATTCCCTCCCTGCTCCATGCCTTGACCCCATCTGGATTATTCTTTCTTTCTATCTGTCTGTATGTATGTATGTATATGTGTGTGTGTGTGTGTATACATATACATATACATACACATATATACAGATATAGATATATAGATATGCACACACACACACATAGATATAGATATAGATGGGCTGGGGCTGTAGCTCAGCATAGAGCACTTGCCTAGCACTTGTACGGCACTGAGTTTGATCCTCAGCACCACATAGAAATAAATGAAGGTTAAGAATATATATTATATATAATAAATAGGTAAAATATATGCATATAAKAAAGTTGAGATCATTCCACAGACGTTTTAATCACTGATATCTCAGCATCAGAAGGTTGGTCCACATTTACAATTTAAATCCTTTTTATCCTGTCGTGTCCCCCACAGAGCTTCCTAAGCACAACCCATAACACTGAGATCCCCAGTCAGACTTCCTGAATGAGCTGTTTGAATCAGGACTCGGAGGGCACGCCCTCCCCCTCCCCGCCGCCCCAGAAGCAGCGCTGTCTGCTGGGATGACGGCTTCTGGGCTGGGTTGGTTTCTTCTGAGAACTGAGAGAAGAAACTAAAGCCCGGCACCGCACAGGCACTCACCCAGCTGTGCTCTTGGTTTCAGGCGGGAGATGATGCCCCTCCTGTCCCTCATCTTCTCTGCCCTCTTCATCCTCTTCGGCACAGTCATCGTCCAGGCATTCAGGTGAGTGCAGAGGGCTGCCCACAGCTTAGGTGCTTTTTTTTCATAAAATTTCTTTTCATTGTTTTTCCCCACATTTTTTGCTGGTGCATTATTATTGTCATCATGTTGCGGGTCGTCGCGTGTTCATTTATACACACAATATCCTTTTTCCTTCTTTAGTGACTCAAATGACGAGCGAGAGTCCCACCCTCCAGACAAAGAGGAAGCCCCTGAGAAGGTCGGGAAGACTGAGCCGAGCTTCACCAAGGAGAACAGCAGGTTTCTCCCACACCACCTCCGCTGCCCTGGGCGCCCGCCCTGCAGATCCCCAAGCAGTGTCAGGACGCGAGTGTGTAGAGTGGCTGGCTCTGCTCCYGAGTGGGAGATGGGAATACAGGTTGAGCGCCCCTGATTAAGACCCAGAATCTGAAATGATCCAGGATCTGAAATTTTTTAGCACCAACTTAACACCACAAGTAAAAAGTTCCATACCTGATTTGTATGACGGGTCATAGTCAAAATGTGGGTGCACCAGACACACAGTGTGACGTTCCCTCTGGGCTGTGTGGGTAAGGGGTACACAGAACATAGGTTAATTCCATGTTTGGATTTGGGTGTAACTGGGCACAGTGGCACACACCTGTAATCCCAGCTGCCCGGGAGGCTGAGGCAGGARGATCCCAAGTTTAAGGCCAGCTTCGGCAACTTAGTGAGACCTTGTCTCAAACAGTATAAAGGATTGGGGATGTATATCTGTGGTAAAGCACCTCTAGGTTTAATCCCTAGTATCAAAAAAAAAAAAAAAAAAAAAAGCAGATTTGGGAGCTTGCCCTACGATATCTCATATGTATGCAAATATTTTAAAACATGGAAAAATCTAGGGCTGGGGTTGTGGCTCAGTGGTAGAGCACTCGCCTGGCACATGCGGGGCCCTGGGTTCGATCCTCAGCACCACATAAAGTAAATAAATGAAGGTGTTGTGTCCAACTGCAACTAAAAAATTTTTTTAAAAAGTGATGTTTATCTTTAATAAATAAATAAACAAACAAATAAAATAAACATGGGAAAATCTGAAACCTAAAACGCTTCATCCTGAGCATTTCAGATGGAGGATACTCAGCCTATCCAGGGAAAGGCAGCTGCTGGCTTGTGTTCACTAAGACCTCCTAGGCATCTAGACATACCACCTACTTACTTTATGCCCTGGGACTTTGCTTTCTCAGTCACAGATGTAATAATGAAGGCAGGAAGTGAAAAAGCACATCAGGCCACGTACAGTGGCACACACCTGCAATCCCAGTGACTTAGGAGGCCAAGGCAGGAGGATCACAGGTTTGAGGCCTGTCTCAGAAAGTAAAAAGGACCAGAGATATAGGAGTGCTTGCCCAGCACATGGGAGGCCAAAACTGCAACCCACACTTACAACCAGGAAGGTGGTAGATTACCCAGAAGCAGAGTGGCATGTCACCATAATTCATAATAGTGTTGATGACTGATCTGTTGAGAGCACACAACCAACATCGAGGGACCTGGGTCTCTGCAACAAAGCAGACCAATGGCTGCCTCCGTAGTGCCACCCTTCAGCCTCGGGAGAAGGGCTGCTGTAGGCCAAGGGCTACTTACTGAATCAAGGTTGTCTTGTCCTGCCACGTCAGAGTCGTCATTAAATACCATGGTCTGGTTCAAATACAGCCTCTCGGCCAAGTGCAGTGGCGCACACCGGTAAGTCCAGCAGCTCAGGAGATGGAGGCAGAGGATCCCAAGGTCAAAGCCAGCCTCAGCAAATTAGTGAGCCCTAAGCAACTCGGCAAGACCCTGTCTAAAAATAAAAAATAGAATAAAGGGAGCTGTGGACATGGCTCAGTAGTTAAGCACCCCTGGGTTCAATCCCTGGTACAAAAAAAAGAACACAGCGTATCATTCAACTTGTTCCCTTTTAAAGTAGTGCCATCAGCTGCCCTGGTAACAACTTCTCCCCGTTTCCCCACAGCAAGATTCCGAAGAAAGGCTTCGTGGAGGTAACAGAACTCACGGATGTGACATACACCAGCAACCTGGTGCGCCTTAGGCCAGGCCACATGAACGTGGTCCTCATCCTGTCCAATTCCACCAAGAACAGCCTGCTGCAGAAGTTTGCCCTGGAGGTGTACTCGTTCACTGGGTAAGCGCGGTGTGAGGAAAGAGAACCCAGAAAGGAAAAGACCTCCGCGGATCAGAGATGCTTTGCCAAGCAGTGGAGGGGCACGATTTCCAGAGGGAACTGGCTCTGGCTACGCCAAGGGCTGAGCTGTGTTGGGTTTATTAGCGCCCATCAGGGGAGGAGTTGGTCAGATACTTTTGGGGGTCACGGGAACCTGGGCAGATCTGGGAAATGACGAGAGGTCAGAGCCCCAAGTTTCCTTTTTCCTGAGGGGTTGTAAGTTCAAGGAGTCTGCGGGGGTGTGGAAGCCGCAGGGAGAGAGGGAGCAGGTATGCACCTTTGGGTGAAGGGCCCCCGGGGACCACCGTGCCCACTTCTCTGTGGCTGTGGGCTTGATCCATGCAGCGAGGTCTTGGACACATCGGGCCATCACCGGGGCCCTCTTTTCCCCCTCAACTTTCATGATCTCTCTGTTCAGAACRGAGCTTGAAATCCATGCTGCTCCCTGAGCCCTTCAGAAAACAGACTGGCCCCGCCACTCTCTGAGCCAGCAATGGGTGGGGGCGGGTGAGTGAGCCAAGGGAATGTCACAGGCCCTAGGGCTTCTTCCTGTGTCCAGGCCCCTCCTTTTCCTGTCCTTTCCAGTCTGACTGGCGTGGGAAGCGCCCTGAGTCCGCCCCTTCTCCCCACAGCAGCAGCTGCCTGCACTTCTCCTTCCTGAGCCTGGACAAGCACAGAGAGTGGCTGGAATACTTACTGGAATTTGCTCAAGACGCAGCCCCGATCCCCAACCAGTATGACAAGCACTTCCTGGAGCGGGACTACACTGGCTACGTCCTGGCCCTGAACGGCCACAAGAAATACTTCTGCCTCTTCAAACCCCAAAAAACGGTGGAAGAGGAGGAGGCCATGGGGTCCTGCGGTGACCTCGACCCCTCCCTCCCCCTGGGCGAGTCTCGGGGGAGACCCTCCTGCGGCCTGGGACCGCGGCCCATCAAGGGAAAGCTGAGCAAGTTGTCCCTGTGGATGGAGCGCCTGTTGGAAGGGTCCCTGCAGAGGTTCTACATCCCCTCCTGGCCCGAGCTAGACTGAGAGGCTTCAGAAAGAGATGTGAACTCTCCAGCTTTTTAACATGCCCCAGGAACAGGTATTTTTCAGGACTCAATCACCACGGACAAAGCATAGATTTTAGATTACTCTTTTAGAACAGTGGTGGGAAGAACCTCTCCGTCCGGCCCTCACTCCCGTCCTCACCTGGGAGGGAAACACGCTACAGGTTCGAATTCTCTAGATCAAAATATTTCCCTTTGGGTTTTTTGACTTCAGTTGAATGCCGCACTATTTAAATAGACTGCTCCTTCCCTCCTCTTTGCTGCCTCTGTCCCGGGCTCACACCACCTGCCCCTTCCTGGCCCTTCATTGGAGAAACAGCRGCACCCAGACGGAACCTCAGGAGCCTGTCCCACAAGTCCAGTCACTTGCCCCTGCACACCCTCAGGCCCGCGCTGGCCCCTGCTGAGCTTCTGCCCAGGCGCATGCTCCCCACCCTGACCACCACCTTGCCTTCTCGGCCTGCCCCTTGAACGAGGCCTGGTGCCAAGCAGTCTCATGCACAGTGGTAGTTCTGGGAGTCAGTGGCAAGAAGTGCATCTTGCGGGGGATCCCCCACAGCAGTTTGCCAGCCACAGCTTTGAAAGGAAAGGGTCTAGTGGGGTCTCCGGATTGGAGCCTGGTTTTCCTCCCCAGCCAGGGGAAGGGAGGTCTGGGCGGCAGCTGGAGGGATCCTTTGTGAGCATCACATCACCCCCCCCATCCCGGGGAGGAGTCTGCCCTGCAAGAGCACTGTCATGACTTTGAGCCGTTGACCTGTACGTTCTCAGATGCCTTTCTGCCTGTGATTGTAGGGTGTGGATATTAGGAGCCATAACTTGTGATCTTGTTCTCTGAACGTAGATAAGCTGCTATATAAAGCCAGTAGATGTCAGACTGAAAACAGATTATTCCTGCCTGCCAGAGTCGGGGAGGAAGCTCTTCACTCCGGTGGCGTCTGTCTAGTAACACTCTAGACACATCTTTGTATCAAGGAACTTAAACCCTCAACAACTGTATTTTGAACACTGTTACCCAAAAAATGCTTTGTCTTCAAGTCGTCTTTTGTGACAGGTGAGCTCAGACGGACTCTAGGCCCATTTTGCAAGCAGCCTGCCTTCCGCCTCTGGCTGTGCTTTGGCACTATGGCTTTGTCGCTGTTCCCCTCTCCCTTGACGGTCAGCTGTGGGTTTGCTGCACACTCTACATGGGCTCTGGGCCCCTTGAGGGCAGGCCTTTGTTTTGGGGGCCAGACCACCAGGAATTTGGACAATTTCCAAGAGTGGTCTGTCAAAGCAAATGCCCTTTTGTAGAGTAAAGGGCAAAAATCAGGGATGGGTCATTTACTGAGTTAGTGTTTCTTTAATCATAATTGCTTTAAACCAAGCCACTTGGATCCTGAATAATTTAAACCTTGAGCTACAGTGGTAAATAATAAATCATATGAGCCCAGGAATTCATACAGCTTCATGGAGTCAGTCTAGAGCTTTATTTAAATTATAAATAAATCACTGCCAGGGCTTCATTCTTCCCACGATCCTTTGGAAGTGGATGCTCACTCTGGAATCCCTGTCTCGTGGCACCCAGCCCCGGGAGCTCCTTAGCTCTTTGATACACCAGTCCTTAAAATTAATTTCTGGGGTTTTGTTTTGTTTGGATACTAGGGACTGAACCCAGGGACACTTTACCACTGAGCCACACTCCCAGCCCTTTTTATTTTTTGAGACAGGGTCTCGCTAAGTTGCTGAGGCTGGCTTTGAACTTGTGACCCTCTGGAGCCACTGGAATCACAGGTGCACTATGCCCTGCCGTTGTCTGGATTTTTTATGGCCTGTTGCTCATGTGAACAGTGCTTTGTTCCATTGGCAGGCTTTTGTTTTTAATTTCTGGTACTAATGGAAAACCAAAAACTCCCCCCGATTTTTCCCCCCTTTTTGTACCATTAAAATGAAGAGTACCTACAGACCACTGCACTTTCCATTTGCACTAGGAAAGGAAAATGGTAACCGGAGTTGACAATAATCCCGGCAAATATTTCAGTCCAAAAATTCTGCAGCTCTGTCGGGGGCTGGTAGATGTGTTCCACAAGGACGCTAGGGAGCTTTATCCTTAACCATGCAAGCCTTTCCTCCTGAATGTTATTTCCATGAGTTTTATTTTGTGTCAAATGTATGAGCCGTTGTCACACTCAGCCAGTGCCACCACTTCTCATTCTGATGTACGTAATCACCRAACCCAGTTGGGGTGTAACTCTCTAGTGTTCAAATATCAACGCTGATAAAGTTCTCAGAGGTGGGTATTTCTGGTCTGTACAGACTGTGCATCATGTTTAGCAGAGGAATGAGAACTAGCCTGAAGTGAGTCTTTGTAGAATACACTCCCATCTCAGAAATACTTGTTTATCACTCAGGTATTTGTCTAACACTGACGTCCTTGGCCCTTCCTCTCCACCAGCAGGACTGCCCCGCCTGGGAGGCATCCTGGTCTCCCAGGAGAGCTGGGTTGTGGTTTTCAAATAGGTGGAACTCCTCCTGATTCACATCCTCTTCTACTCTAGCCTGTTACTTATTATCATCCTAATCAGTTTGCAGCTGCCATTAGTGCTTAAGAGTTCCCCTGGCGTAGAAAGACAGGGGAACTATTGTTAAGTGATTTGCTTTGTTTGGGAACAGAAATTGGAAACAAACACCCAGCCTTGTTTTGTTTTGGGTCCCTTTAAAATAGAACTCCTTAAAAACTGATGCAGGGGCGGGGATATAGCTCAGTAGGTAGAGTGCTTGCATCTAGTGCAGAAGGCCCTGGGTTCAATCCTCAGCGCCACAAAAAAAAAAAAAAAAAAAAAAATACTAAAGCTGATACAGGGCCTGGGGAGTGGCTACACCTGCCTACAACCCTAGCACTGCAAAATAAAGAAACATGCAAAACACTCTTAGCCTCAACTTACATTGTCTCTTGAAAAACATATGGCAGCTGCTGACCCTGTTGAGTTTATTCAGAAAGATGATGGTACTTGGGAGACATAACTAAGAAGGTGACTATTTTGCACTTTTGATACCCTTAGGAACGAATAACTTATTTGGCAAATTGTGTCTTTTTTATGTTTTAGGGTTTTTTGTTTGTTTTTTAAGTTTTGTTTTTTTGTATTGTGAACAGGCACTGAAGCTGATATTATTTTGTTTTAAGAATATTACAGACTGGAAACAAATAAACTATTTTAATGTGTGATGACTGTGGGTAGCTCTTGAACTGCAAGATGATCATCTTGAAGTTTCTCTCAGCAACGCTTGGCATCAGCACAGCCCAGCTGCAGATTTCAGGAACTGCTGGCCAGGAGAGTGTGTTGGCTTAAAGTAAATAATGCAAAATTGAGTCTCCTAGAGAGTGGATTAGAAGGTCCATCAAGGGCTCAGCTGATGTTATCTGGGCTTCTGGGGACATTTCTTTATTAGGAACTGCATGTTGTTTTCTTCAAAGATCATTTATGTTTTCAGTGATCCTGAAACCAAGATGTGGGGGCTGGGAATGTGGCTCAGTGGTGGCATGAGTGAGGCCCTGAGTTCAGTCACAGTATCGCAAATAAATATCTATCTTTTTTTTTTTTTTTTAAGATAGAGAGGAGAGAGAGAGAATTTTTAATATTTATTTATTTATTTTTTTTTTAGTTATCGGTGGACACAACATCTTTGTTTGTATGTGGTGCTGAGGATCGAACCCGGGCCGCACGCATGCCAGGCGAGCGCGCTACCGCCTGAGCCACATCCCCAGCCCAAAGGAGCTCTATCTTAAAGGAAGAGTATAGAAATGTGGAGTCTTTACACTGTCCTTTCATAATTTTTTTATTCCTTCATCCCATTTTTAGATGACCTTGAGTGAAATTCTCCCTCCACTTCTTCTCCTCCTCCATCTTTGATCAAAGGAAAAAAAAAAAACCTAAGCAGTGTCAAATGCCTCAGTTTTTAAAGTCAATTGAAACCCTTAGAAATGTGTTTGGGTTAGAATTCTGAATGTCCTTGTTCTATAGCCACCAATGACCCTGAGCAGCAAGCTACCCTGGCCTACCCTCTTCAGTACTCCGACTGCTCGCTAGTAAGCTCCTGAGGAGTGGTTGGTAGTGCATCCATTTTGTCTAGAAGAGACAAGGTTCAGGCAGTTGCCACTTTAGGGAGAACACACAGCATTTCAAACAGCAGGTTAGCCGCCAGGAGGGCTGTGTTCCCTAGGACAAAAGCAGAAGAGTGAGACCCGGTGAGTGGGGCACATGGCCGCCCTCCCTGCTGCCCATCCCCCAACTCCCACCCTGAGGGTGCCCCCCTGGCAGTCTGCCCTCCTCAAGCAACAAGTAGAAATAGTATTTGAAATTCAGAAGCTTCTTGGTTTACACTTAGATCTTTTTCCCCAAAAGGAAATTTTATAATAACGGCATGTACTATATTACATCTCTCCTCTGAGGTTAATAGGCCTAACTTTATGAGCTTTTYTAAATCAAAATTATTGGCCTGGGGGTGTAGCTCAGTGGCACAGCACATGCCTGTGCATACGAGGGCCTGAGTTTAGTCCCCAGCGCCAAAAGAAAAAACAAAAAATAAATTTAAATTATTAGGACAGCACCTGCTTGGAAGATCTTAACCAGCCAACACCCGCCCCACTGTGTGTAAACATTATGCTTTAAGAACTTACTTACATAGCTGGGTGATGGCAGGTATATTATGAAGCAGGGCTAGTGGCACTTAGGCAGCAGGGACAGGATGTTCCATCCCTGTGTGTAATTCTCTGCCATGC